GGGGGGGGGACAGCTCCGCCGTCTGAGAAGCAGGGACATGAGCACAGTTGGGTGGGAGGTGGGAGCTCCTGAGCAGGGGCTGGACTTGGTCCTGGGAAAGGGACGCCCTGGACAGGATGTGGCGGGGCTGGTGGCTGTGTCAGGGAAGTGGCCGGGCCTTACCGGGGAGGGTCTGGTTGGAGACACTGGGTTGCAGATGGGAAGGCTTGAAGTCACATCCATAAAGGTGACAGGGAACCGAGAGGGGGGTGGATGAGGTGTCAGAGCAGAGAGGGAGGCTTAGAATTGGGAACAGCCCAGGCAGAGGGCAGAGAGGTGGGCTAGCTGCTGGGGATGCACTGTGACCCTGAAGTGTCAGACATGGCCATGCTCAGCACCTAGGGGGGATCAGGACAGAGCTCTGCAGGTGGATCTGGGACCGGGGAGCTGGAGTCCACAGCCACCCTCCTAGAGGCCAGCCTCCAGGGCCAACCAGGCAAATGGGTTTCTGCCATGACCACCCCGAGCCCAAATCCTGCCAGACACAAGTTTGACAGTAAAGGAAAACAGGACAGTAGCAGAAGTGCAGTGGTCCAGAGAGGGGTCTTTTCAAGACAGGGAAGCCCACGCGTGCTCGCAGGCCATTGTGCACTCACAGACATCCACACACTCCCACTTGACACGCACACACATGCACCCAGCCCCTCAGATTTGTGTCACTGCACGCTGGGGCTCACATGCAGCACACAGCATCTTCTGCCATGGGCTCAGTCCCCCTCCAGGTGGGTACCCGGGAGAGGGAGCGCCCAGACAGCTCCAGTGCTGCTGGGAAGGTGAATGGACAGCCAGCATGGACCATGGGCACATGCTTCTGAATGCTAAGTGCTCGGGAAATTGAGCCCATGGATCAACCCACACGTACGCCATTCCCAGCAGCTGAAGTGGAGACCTGTGAAAGCCCATTCCAAGTGCAATCATCCAGAGAGCCGGGGTCCCAAGTGCTGCCGAGCGGAGGGCTCGTGTGCGCAGACACGCCGCTGGGGCAGCTTCGACCTGTGGGGCCCCGGGGAGAGATTGTGGGATCCTGTTTTCAGGCCACTTTGGGGGTCCATTGCTTTAAGAGATGGCCACGGTGTGTGTGTGCCTGTATGCGCACATGTGTGTTTTGCGGGTGCATGCGGGCACATCTGTGTCTGCACGGAAGTGGTGCAGCACCTACCCTGGGACAGCACTTTTCTGGGGACAGAATGAGGGACAAGATTGAGGAAACACAGGTGCCTGCAACTATGTAAGATTTTATTTCTTTAAAAAACATCTAGAGCAAATAAGACAGTGTTCAGATTTGAGTCCGCCCAGAGTGGGCTGGGTTATCCTCTCTGCTTCTTCCACGTGTTTAAAACTTTTTGCACAAAAATAAATTGTACTTAGAGACAAAGGGGCCCCAGGTGACCACCCTGAGGGCCAGGCCTGTTGAGGACCAGAGGCCAAGTAAGTGAGAGCTCGGAGGATTGGGTGGAGGGAGGGTGACCAGATGGACTGGTGGTGCACTGGCTGGCACCTGGGACTAGGACTGCAAGCAGGTGGAGACAGGAGGAGGTGAAGGCCAACACCTGGCTTGCTGGCTTCCAGGGAGAGGGGGGGTTCAGCCCCCACACTCTGCTCTCCACTCTGCCTGGACCCTGCGGCCCTGCTCCTGGCCTTTGGGCAGAGGCCTCACTGGACCCCCAGACCCGCTGCTGTGCGAACCAGCCCTTCATAGTCCCCCAGGAGGAAGTGTTGGCTTTGGAAAGGACCTTGTGGGCCAAGCCCAAGTGGGCCAGAGCCAGGAAGGCAGGTCACGGTATCACGGCTGCAGAGGACCCAGGGGCACTTCTGGAGTGAATGGGCTTGGGCTGGGTTGTGGTGGGTTCCGTGCCCCTTTCTGCATTTTCCAGACATTTTGTGCAGGGGATGGAATTTTCTGTTACTCAGATGTTTTATTTAGGACAGACAAGGTAGAAGCTTGTTGGACTTGTGAAAGCCTTGGTGGCCTTGGAGAGAATGGTCTGAACCGGACCTCAGGGCCCCCAGGAGAGGAGAGGCAGGAAGGGGCAGGGGCATGGGGGGCCATGGGTCACTGGGCCCCTCTCTCTGCAGCGAGGAAGCAGGAGATCATCAAGATCACAGAGCAGCTCATTGAGGCCGTCAACAACGGCGACTTCGAGGCCTACGCGTGAGTCGGGGCCTGTGTGGCTCCTCGGGCAGCCTGGGTGGACTGTGGGTGTCCCTCGAAGAGAGGGCTGGATGTCCTGGGGGGGTTCAGAGGGGCCCCTCCTCACTTGGGTCTGCCCCCCAGGAAAATCTGCGACCCAGGCCTGACCTCATTTGAGCCTGAAGCTTTGGGCAACCTGGTCGAAGGGATGGACTTCCACAGGTTCTACTTCGAGAACTGTGAGTGCGGGAGCGGGGGGTGGGGAGGGGTGCACGGGAGCCCAGGGAAGCCCACCCCCTCTGTGCCCAGACCGAGCAGCCATGGACCCTTGGGGGGCGGTGCAGGAGGGGGTGGCTGCTGCGATGCTGAGCCCCAGCGGCCTGTCTGCAGTGCTCGCCAAAAACAGCAAACCGATCCACACGACCATCCTGAACCCGCATGTGCACGTCATCGGGGAGGACGCCGCCTGCATCGCCTACGTCCGCCTCACCCAGTACATCGACGGCCAGGGCCGGCCCCGCACCAGCCAGTCCGAGGAGACCCGCGTGTGGCACCGCCGCGACGGCAAGTGGCAGAATGTGCACTTCCACTGCTCGGGGGCGCCCGTGGCCCCACTGCAGTGAAGGTGAGCGCCAGGCGGGGCGGGGCGGGGCCTCGGGCGGGACAGGGTCACCAGGCGCCGCAAACCCGGGAGCTGACCCGCCGCCCACGTTCCAGAGCCCACGGATCCTGCCTGGCGCCCGGCCGCCTGGTGCACGGCCTGCCTGTCGCATGTTTGTGTCCGCCTCTTCCCCCCGGTGCCTGTGTCTGCAGAAAACCAAGACCAGATGTGATTTCTTTTTAAAAACAAGATGACAGCAACCACCACAAAAAAAGAAAAAAAAAAATAGATGGATGAAATGGAAAAAAAAACTAAACAAAGGAAAAAGCTGTAAAAATGACTGGCATTTGTGGGGCTTCAAACCTACTGGCCACTCTCCACCCAAGCTCCACTTGTCTGTCCGCTCTTGGCCTCTGGACCGCCGGCGGTGAACTTGTCCAGGGGCAGGCCTGTGCCCTAACGGTGTTTGTTCGATGGGGCCCACCCCTCCACCCTGCGCGTGGTGGGTAGTGTCAGGTGTCGTCTCCGGAGCTGCGGGGCCACCGCCTGAGCCCTGAGCGCAGCTGTTCCGCTTCTTTCCCCTCCCCCCCAGAAGGCGGGTGTGGGCTCCTCCAGAGCCAGCACCCGTGCCCCACCGTGGGGGGGCAGCGCCAGCCCCCAGGGAGGATGAGCCCTGTGAGAAGCCCCCAAGGGCCCAGGGCCCCTCTCTGGCTCTCCCAGGGACAGAAAGTGCAGATGGGCACAACTAGCTTCAGACTCTGGCCCCTCAGACTCCAGCTGGCCAGCTACAGACTAGCCGGGAAAACACCCTCGGCAGCAGCCCTGCGGGGAGAGGACCCGTGGGCTGGCCTCCCTCCTGTTCGTGGGGCATTCCTCCGACACAGAGGGACATGGGCCCCAGGCCCCAGGCGCAGCGGGGCTTAGTTCTGACACAGGAAAGAGGGGTCAGAGGGGGGCGTGGCTCCCTGGGCTCCCGGCCACAGCAAGGGTCCAGGCCTGTGGCAGTGTGCTCTGGGAGGGCAGGGCAGGGCGGGGCAGGGCCGACCACCTCGCCAGGCTTCAGGCAGCTGCAGTGTGACAGGGGCCCTGAAGTGGGGAGGAGGCGGCTGGGCTCACCTCTGTGAGGCTCAGGGATGGGCTGCATGGTCAGCTGGCAGCAGAGAGCAGCCGGGGGGGCGGGCAGGTCTGACCAGGCCTGGTCACAGAGGTTTGGGACCCTCCTGCCCCAACATCTGCCCCCCTTCAATTCACATTGTTTTCAACAAGGATTTTCTTTATCTTCCCCCCACAAATCAAGCCAAGGGAGGGGCATGGAGTGGGGAACAGGACAGAGGACCTGATCTCTCCAAGGAGACTGTCCACTGTCAGACACTCAGAGTGGACACTCACCTGCCCATCCACAGCTGTGCTCAGGACAGCTGTCCCCACCCATGGACGCAGGGTAAACATCTGCCAGGCTCCCTGGGTGTGGGCAGCAGCAAGTGGCAGGACTCACCATGGACAGTGTGTGGCCTAGCCACCCTCACCTCCTGGGGCCTCCTCCCACCTCTCCCACTCCTCATTATCTCCACGGAGCTGCCTGTCCAGATTAATTTGGGGATTTTTTCTGGGGGATAGTTCTTTTGCATGACCCCCATGAGCAAGCCACACCCGCTCTTCTAGCTAGATGTCCGTGGTGTGGCCTCACTGGCCCGCCGGCAGATGGTCGGCTGCCACGGTGCTGGCCGGCTTTCCTCTTCTCTCTTTTTGCTGAGTTTCATTGTCTTTTCTTTCTGAGCCTTGTAAGTGTACAAAAATTATTTTGTTCTGTCTCGGGAAACTGCAAATAAAAGGAAAACAGGACAAATTGCTTTAAGTGCAGCTGGGCGCTTTATGCTGGGACCCCACCACCCTACAGCCAGTCCCTTCTCATAGGGGGCCCCCAGCTGGCCTTGGCTACGGAGGCCAAGTCCAGACCTTCCTGAGTCCGTCGGGGGTGGATGGCCCGCCAGGGGTCCCTCTGCAGCCCCAGGTCACAGCTCCAACAGCTGCCCCCCCCCCGCCTCAACACCCCCAATTGCTCTAGTCACCAGAGTGTCCTCTGGAGTGGGAGGAGCCCCAGGACCGGGCTCCACTGTCCTACTGAGTGGCTCCCTCCACTCACCCATTCTACCTGTGTGTTTGCTCACCACCGGCTACAGGGGCTTGGGACACATGGTGTCCATAGGCACTCTGACCTGCCCAGGCGAGCCCACACCCTGGGTTATGCAGACGGCACACAAGCCTGCATCGGTGTCAGACACCAACGTCACACACAGCACAGTGCTGGCTGCTGGGATGCAAAGGTGAAACAGTAGGTGATGGCAGCGGGAACAGGCTTCTCAAGAAGGAGCCCCAGAAGATATCTGGGGACAGCAGGGTGCCAGGTACCCAGACTGAGGGAGGGAGAGTGTGAAGACCTGGTGGCAGGGCTAGGCGCTCCCCAACAGGCCTCCTTCTGCAGCTGCCCCAGCATGAACACCTCCCCAGACAACCCCATGCCTTTCCTGTACTTGGGCTCTGCCCCACCATCGGTGCTCCTGGCCTGTCCCTCAGGAGGGACATGTCACCCAGCTGTATCCCTACAGCATGGGGACACAAAGCCTGCAGGGACCTCCCTCGGGAATGACCACCCTTGGCCTGTGCTGGCTGTCAGCGCTGATCTCATGGCTGTAAGACTTGACTTACCACTTGGTCCTATAGCCATCTTATCACATGTCCTCACATTCAGGCTAAGCTGCAGGCCTCTTGGCCTTCCTCCTTCCCAGACACACTCTCACGTGGAGATGGGCAGCCTCCCCTGCACCCGTGACCCTAGGCCTGTCTGTACCTTATACCATGTGCTTTCCTGGGACAGAAATGGGGGCTTCAACACCATCCTAGACACCTGACACACCCACTGTGGGTCTGAGAGATTGATAATACACAGGTACCCCAGGGACCACCTCAAGCCACCTCCTCTAGCTTTAACCCTTGGTGGCAGACACCTTGCATAGGCCAGAAGGCCCTTGACAGTCTCAGTGGTTGGTGGGCTGCACCTAACAGGTATTCTCAGGTATGTGGGCAGGAGAGGACTCTCCCTGGCAGTGCCTCGCGGGATCTGAGCTGGTCTGGGAGAATGTAGGACAGAGCTGGGGAGCAGTGTCACAGCACCATATCTCCTAGACCAGAGGGCTATCAGCTGTAATCGGAGGAGCCTGCCCAGGCCAGGCCTCCCTGGGATCCTGAGCCCTGAGGTGGGACATCTCATCCTGGTGCGTGTGGGGTAAGCCTGCAGGTAAGGCTGGGCACTACAGGCAGAGGGGAGGTACTTGAGGGCCTTCATCCGTCACTCTGAAAGAGCACCTGCTTTGGGCAGAGCTCCCTGGGCCTCAGCAGGAAAAGCCAGTGCACTTGGTCCCGCCAGAACCTGGGGCTGCTTCTGATTTCGATGGTCACTGTAAGCTGGAAGCAGGGCCCTGGGCCAGTGACAAGCCAGGCTGCTAAGTCTCCACAGGCCTCCAATGACCAGCTGTTTCGTTCTTTCCCTAAACTAGGGCCAGACTCCTCAACCCACAAGGATGCACCACACAACTGCAGAGCCCGACTCACTCCCTCACCTGGTTCCTACCAGGTCTGCAGGAAAGGTTACACCCTGGGCCTGGGGTTAAGGCAGATGCCTCCTCCCTGC